AAAATACCGCGATAATACCGAAAACCGTGATAATTTTGGTCACTATAACCGTGAGGTTAAATTTTCATACTGTTACATCCCTACCTCCAATAATTAGAAAAGGGTGGAGGAGAAGCAGTGGACAGAGGCGACTGGATCATTTCATAAAAAGATATATGCTCCCCCATTCCTTTTTCTTCTTGAACTCCGCAAAGAAAATTACAAAGTGAGAGGAGAAAAATGTTGAGTAGATGAGCTGCAGTCACTGGAGCTCACAGAAGTCCCTGATCAGAGTCATTAGCTAAATGTACAGAGCACAAAAATGGGTCAATGGAGTATAATAGTATCACATAAAGGGGTGGATTTTATTTGAGGACAGAAGGAATGAAAATGTGTGAAAAATGAAAAAAACAACTGATCTAAAATAAGGCTGAAAGGAGTGAAAAGTTAGCCAAGTGTGCATCATCATTAATACAGTGTGTGTGCTTTGAAATGCCCATGACAGCTGCAGTGATTTGGAGAAGGAGATCCGTGTTTGCAAGATGCCTTAAAGCTGTGTGTGCCGATTTGACATCGTGTCAGAATGAATCACCTGATTTAACTGGCCTGCTACAGCTACCCGACTTTACAAACCCAGTTTTATTACAGCCCAGCATAGCGCAACCTGTCTGTTTGAAAATTAATGACTTAATGAATGAATGTTTTGTTGAAAGAATAAACATTTATCTGATTAAAAATTATTGTTAATTTCTTTCTCCCCCCTGCAGATCCATCAGTGCATCACAGACAGAAGACAGTGGTAACAGACATGTGCTACCCGACAGAGATATCCAGCCTGATGGACTTTGGCACACCAGACTGCTCACTAGGCAAAGGTACGGTGTTGCTTGAAAAAAAAAAAAATACAAGGTGTTGCCTTGGTGACAGCAGGAAGTGTGCACAGTGATTTATCCTGGCAGTTAAAAGACAGAACTGTCAGCTTGACTGGGAGGTTAACACTGGAGCAAAGGCCTGCGCAGGCTAAGAGTGTGAGAACAATCAGATAACAGCTCTTGGTACCTGGCCACGAGGGCCTTACACTTGCAGGGTTTGATTCATCACAGCTAAATAACATGTTTTGTCACACAATACTTGGTGTAAGACTGCAAGACTTGATTGACTTCTCACCATAGAAAAGCATTTTACTTTGCAAATTGCTTTAATCTGAATGGAGCTTTATTGAAGTTTATTACACTAGGGTTGTATTGTAATGTGCAATTATTGCATCGCAGCCAGGCCACTTATTTCCTCCAATCACTGTCATCAGTTTGAGAAATAAAATGCTTTATAGAGAGGCCTTAGTAGTTCTGGATAATAGTCTCTCTCAGTCTCTCGTTTGTGGTAATCAAACTGACCAGCCTGTAATATTATGCACCACAAAAGATATTGATCATAGTCTATTGATCGCATGTGTATTGTTGCTTAATCTGTAAGCCGTGTGTCCATTTCTTTTTCTCAGCGTAATGGCTGCTATTATTTTCTACTGTTCTCACACTGACCAAACTGCAGACCCTGTGCCGTAATTGCCTAGTCCAGCCCCTTGAAGCTGGCAGAGCAAGCTCAGTGGCTATTAGACAAGCCTCGTGTCATTTCCATCAACAATGGGTAGCGACAGTGGTGACCTCAGTCACTCATTCTCCTTCTTCTCTGCCCATCACTGCTTTCCCTCTCCCTCCTCCTCCTTTTTTTTTCACCTCCTCTTCTCTCTCAAGGCTAGCTAATATTTTAATGCCGCTCCATCCTGGCTCTCTATCAACACTCCCCAGCACTGATAATGCAGATTGACAGGTCAACTGAGAGAAGGGAGAGCGATACAGTGGAGGAGAACAGGCTAGAAAAAGAAGGGTTTTAGGATTTCTTCTGGCTTTAATGTGAGCAAAGCAAATGAATGACATAGTGATACAGGGAGTTTAAGCCGAAGAATAAGGACACTGAGGAGTGGAAAATTTCAGACTGAGTAACTGTGAGGCTAAAAGCAATACTGTGAATAAGATTCGGTGTAGCTGGGAGGCAGGCTACAGGATGACCTTGGAATTATCAAGTGCTTCATTTGGTCAAAATTTTCTTGTTCAAATAAAAAGCTGATAGATTCAGGCAGGTTATAATTTAAATCTAGTATATGGTCAAAATTTTAATTATTTGGCTGAATGATGTGATATTATAACTGTAATAATACAGCGAAGGCTGGTTTAGAAAAACATGCTCGACATTCTAATGAGGTGTTAATTGCATCCACCATAGAGAGTTATAATTTAAATCTTTTGTCTCAGCTCTCATCAGTCCGAGAGGAGCGAGCCTGGCAGTAATCCTTGAGGTGTCAGGGAGTGATTGACAGATCCATTGCCTCATGTGACAAGTATCTGGTTAGAGCACATCTGATCTTTAGACGGAGCTAAAGCACTGAGCGTCAGCCTCTGACAGGCAGGACAAATGGTATGCTTGCCCTGAACTGCCTGTCACGTCTTAAAATGCAGTTTTAACTCGTCTTTCTCTTGCACACATACACACACACAC